GGGCTGAGAAAGGCTGGAGATTCGGCCGGAGCAGGAGCTGGTGGCGAAGTACGAAGGGTGAACACTTGCTTTATTATTATTATAAAACGAAAAAAGAACGAGTTTCTCCGTAGCCGCCAATGGGTTGCATCATGAATCGATCGTTAGGTGTATACGCATTATTTCTCAACTAGTGGTCTGTTTTTTTATTTGATTTTTTTTATTTGTGTTTTAAATGACATCAGTGAAATCGGGTCATGCTTTTCAGATTCAAAGTATTTCCTCCTCTGTCCGGATGCCCAAACGATCTCCATTAAAACCGGACAATACTAAGAGACATTGGTGGTACCCAAGTCAATACCAACAAAATCCCATGCTTTATGCGTATATATTTTGAACATTGTCATGTGCAAAACATAATTCGAGTGAGGGACATTGGCCCATTTGAATCAAAACAACCCTGGATGTGTTATTTTTATTTGTGTTCTTCATCTCTTTTTCACTCCAAAACTCACAAATCAAAATAACTAAAAGCTAGACAAATACAATATATATATATATATATATATATATATATATATTCTACTCTTTACACATCCGGTTATTTTTTACAAAAAAAAGTAAAAGAAATACAAATGTATTGCATTCTGTATAAAAATTAAAAATGTATTTTAAATAATCAATAAATATATAAATATAATTATTTATGTATATATATTCAGTCGTTACTAAATATTAATTGGGCCACCATATGATCTCCGCGCCCTCCTCTGCCGCTCTCTCAAGCCACATCGAATTTAATCTTTTTCCAGAAGGATAGTATCTGTTCGGCCGACAGAGTAACTACGCCATCATCGGGTAAAATGGACAAGGATACCTTGAGAGGTTCGTCTACTAAATTACCAAATCGACGGAAGTTAGCTTCGGTGACAGTTTTCCCAAGGTGCGCTTCGGCAAATTCTTTCATTTTCGAGATAGCAAAAGCTCCAATCTGGCTAGCAAAGTACTTTTGCCCGTTTGCTTTGGCCCAAATATCCCCATTTGCATCCTGAACAATAATGCACGGGGCCATTTCCATCCCCATTTCTGTCTGAGAGCCTTCAAACCGTTTGGCCGAGGTTCCCACAAGGAGCTCACCCTCGCTGTTAATACCAACCGCTGAGATAGTTCTTTGCGCATTCTCATTCTGCAATACAAGATGGGATCCAATACACTTGAACAAGTAAACTGACTTCCAAAAGATAAAGGCGATAGAGAAAGTTTTTTTTTTTACCTTTTCTTTCATAGAATTGGTGACACCCAAGTCACTCCCCCCGGAGCAAGATCCTTTAGACATGTGTTGGTCTATATTCCAAAGAGCCTCTCTTGCAGCTTTAGACTTGCCCAAGCACTTACAGAGACTCTCGCAATCCAGTGCCTTGTCTCCCGGGAGTAGAGAATCAGCGGCTCCATAGCAAAACAGCCGATCAGCTCTCTTAAATTGTGACAGAGCGGTTTCAATCTCCATCGCAATCTCGGTACGGATCTTCTCTTTGTACTTGTTCAACCACTTCTCAATATTGTAGACATTAAAGTAAGGGCCATTGTCGATCAAATAGTCCAACTCTGTGTCTTTCCCGGTGGCTTCGTCTATGGCAAAGACAGTAAAATCGCCATAGAGATCAGTGTAGAAGGTTACTTCGAATTGTGCATCCCTGAAACAAGCTGGCGCCTTAACAGTAGCACTCCTGAAAATTGCTTCAAAGGTTTTATCAATTTGCGCAAGCAAAAAAGCTCCAATCTGGCAAGGAGAGTATTTTTGGCCGTTTGCTTCGACCCAAGCATCGCCATTTGGAGCTTTAACAATCTTGCACGGTGCCATTTCCATCTCCGTCTGTGTCTGAGAGTCTTCAAACCGTTTGGCTGGGGTCCCCACAAGGAGTTCACCCTTGTCGTTAATAGCAACCACTGAAATAATTCCTTCGGCATTCTCAATCTGTAACACAAGATGGGATCCAATACACTTGAGCAAGTAAACTCATTTCCAAGAGATAGAGAGCGATAGAGAAAGATTTTTTTACCCTTTCTTCCATAGAGATGGTGGTCTCAGTAACATCACAACGGACGCTGGATGAACAACACACTGTAAGGCTAAGACGATAATTTAACAGCAACACAAACGGGAGATTGAAGTACCTGAAAGCCCTCGCTGAGAAACCCAAAGACGTCTTCCCATTCGCTGATAGCTGCAACTGCGAGAACTTCATTGATAAGTCATTTTTGATTTGGGAATCCCCAAAAATAAGTTAAAGAACCACAGTCACACGCAATTCAATGAAGCACTAGGAGATTACGCCACGTAAGACACCAAACATAACAATTTCTAAATGTAGATCCCACGCCTATGACCACCAAATCATGCATGTTCATGCTCAATCATTCTAAATCCTGTTCGATTGGAATCCAAACATCCTCTAAATTCCAATGAAAAGATCTGTCTGTTTTATTAGAACTTGAACCAGTTTACATGCAATTCTGTATGATTCTACAAGACATGCTGACCAAATGAGCAGATACATTATCAATGCTGAAAGTAACATCTAGGTACCACGTGAGATACAATACCCTTTTCCTCGGCTAAAACGTGGTAGAAATAGAAATAATAATAATAATAATAATAATAATAATAATACACAACATCGGACACCGTGACAGACGCCGTGTTTGGAATTAGCATAAGGCTATAGATTCTAAATTCCAATGAAAACGAAACGCATTCTCTCAACCAAAAAAGATAGCTAAAGGAAGACAAATCGTACGGATTTGTAAGGGGAGAAAGAGGCGGAGTGGAGCTCGTGGCGGAGGAGAGGAAAGGCGATAGTGGCCATAGATCGATGGCTGGTTCCGAGAGAGGACGAGTTCGGGCCCAAAGATCTGATAGCGAATCTGAGAGACGACATCGAGGCCTTGCTCAGCAACCTCTTGCAAGCAGAACTCATCATGAAAGGATGGTCGAAATCCACCAAAACGAAAAGAGTGGAGATTGTTTTGCTTTTCGAGTGGAGGGAAAGTGGGATAACAACAATTAGGGTTTATGGAGTGTGGGACGAAGGAAACGAAAGAAAGAAAAAAAAACCTATTAAACGCAATCGCCTTGCTTTTCCTTTTGGGTCGCTTTCTAACCATTGGGCTTTTCGAGTAAATTTTGAAACTATGGGTTACTAAAGTAAAATCTGAACATTTACTTTATTAATACCAACAAAATCCTGTTTTATGACTGTATTTTGAATATTGTCATGCGCAAACATAAATCGAGCAAGGGGCATTGCCCCATTAGAACCAAACAACCCTGGATGTGTTATTTTTATCTGTGTTCTGAATCTGGTCGACAGAAAACGGAAGATACCCATCACAGTGCCATAAGGATGAAGAAAGAGATGGGAGAGGTTTTTTATTCAGTCTAAGACGAGATATGCAATAATAGACATGAATTCACCTTACAGACATGTCGTGCCGACTCGAGCGCCCGTGGACGGCCAGGTCATCAGGATCTGGTCGACAGAAAACGGAAAGCGCCGTATGGATGGGGGAGATGATGAAAGGAGAGGGTTCTTCCTTCGCTGTAAGACATGTATCCCCACACTCATTCAGTAGCCATGTAAAAAGAGATAAATCCATCGCCAGTTAATTAATTCATACGCGTCTACGGACGCTCCGCTCTCGTCTCATCCATCTCGAGGGGACCCCACGTGACGTGCCATCATGAAAATGAAATAGACCTAATAGCATTTCTACATCGATTTAAACAAATGGGCCCACTATTTTCATATTGGGCCCATGGGTCGCAGACTGATTAATAATGTGGCTACTCCGTCGTTAAATATAATCAATAAATAATTAAATAACAAAAAAGGAGGGGAATCACCGAGTCGGGATCGGCCGAGTCGTGGGTGATGAAGACACACGAGCTTCCGGCGGCTTTCTTCTTGGTCGATGAATTCAATGGAGATTTGGGCTGAGAAAGGCTGGAGATTCGGC